CTCCTGCTTAGGCAGGAAACCCTACACCACTTCAGACAATTTACTTTTGCATTTTATAAGACTCTATAACTTAATAAAAAATGTTTGAAGATGAAAAAAAAGGGATCCATAGAATTCAAGGGAAGTTGGACTTCGTTTGTTTGTGGCTATGTAGGGATTCTAGGCTGGTCCCTCTCTTAACTCCACCTCTAGATTCTGCCACTCCTTTTCTTACAAGGAGTTCCCAGACCACAGTTTGAGACCTGCTGTTCTAATCGAAGACAATATCGGTATTTACAACTACATTTGCTGTTCTGTGGAACATGCTCTTCCCCCCCAGAAATTGGCTGCATCGTGCCAGATTGGAAGTTAAGGTTAATACAACAAATGGTTCGCCCAACCTCATAAAATGTAAAAGACAGTCTCAGCCTCGTCTTGTGTATTGTGTGAACGGTGACTTTGGTGAAAATGGACTACAAGGGGTGTCCTCCTTGGTGCAATAGACCCCAGCCCCCCAGCCCCCCAAAAAAAGAATTGAATCTTACACCAAGTGTAAGGCCACACTTGGAATACTACGTTCAGTTTTGGTCACCACAATGTAAAAAAAGATGTGGAGACTCTAGAAAGAGTGCAGAGAAGAGCAACCAAGATGATGAGGGGACTTGAGGCTAAAACAAATGAAGAATGGTTGCAGGAATTGGGTATGTCTAGTCTGATGAAAAGAAGGACTAGGGGAGACATGATAGCAGTGTTCCATTATCTCAGGGGCTGCCCCAAAGAAGAGGAGTCAAGCTATTCTCCAAAGCACCTGAGGGTAGGACAAGAAGCAATGGGTGGAAACTAATCAAGGAGAGAAGCAACTTGGAACTAAGGAGAAATTTGCTGACAGAACAATTAATCAGTGGAACAACTTCCCTCCAGAAGTTGTGAATGCTCCAACACTGGAAGTTTTTAAGAAGATGTTGGATACCCATTTGTCTGAAGTGGTGTAGGGTTTCCTGCCTAAGCAGGGGGTTGGACTAGAAGACCTCCAAGGTCCCTTCCAACTCTGTTATTCTATTCTATTCTATTTGGATCAGGATAGAGCTGGTCTGAAGCCCGACGGATTCCTTAAGAGCAGCCCTCTTCTTCCTGTAGAACACCAGTATGACTAATTTCCCACCTACTGAAAGCAAGGATGAATTATTGTTTTGGAGAGAAAGAAGTATGAAAGGAAATTCAGCTTCCCACTCAAAAAAAGAAGAGGTTTTAGGAAGGAAGGAAGGAATGCAACATAAACTTTGGAAAGGGAGGGGAAGAAGATCTCTCCTACAGCCACTTCGATAGTAATTATTTGCACATTTCTCGATCACATTGACTCTCGGGAGGTGCCGTATCTCTGTATTTATTTTTTTTCCTAGTCAACCATTTCAATTCATTTCCTTCCAGCAGAGTTGTTTACGCATCCCTTAGAGATAACATTGTTCCAAAAGAGAGAGAGAGAAAAGTCTTGGGTTTGTTTAATAAAGCCATGAAGTATTGTCATATTTTGAAAGTCTTGTTTATTAAATAAGAGTCAAGCGAGCATTGCTTAAACTTTTGATCTCCGGTTGAGCTAAAGCAATAAAAAGATTCTTCCAAAGGCAACCTTTTTTCCAGAAAAATCCACCCATTTGAAGAGCTGAGGTGGGGGTGGGAAGAGAAGGTTGCAGACAAGGTTTGGGAAAAGATTGTGCGAATAGTCCATTCTGGGGGAACGTTCAGTTCACAAGCAAGTTGAATGAAGCACAAATGAAATGGTGGAATTGGATGCAATCAATCAATCAGAATAGAGTTGGAAGGTCCTCTAATCCAGGGGTCCCCAACTTTTTGGACCTCAGGGACCACTAAATTCATAATTTTAAATCCCGCGGACCTCTAATATGATCTGCCTAATGACTGACTGGGTGGGCGTGGTTAGGTAGTCATGTGACTGGGTGGGCACGGCCAACTCAATGTCACTCATGTCGCCTCACTAGCCTCTACTCACCCCTCCACTCCCAGCCACTCCTCGCCTTCCCACACCGGCTCCTTAGGGCCCCAACAGGAAGCAGTTGTTGGAGCTAAGCAGCCTCCACGAGAAAGAGTTGGCAAATCAGCTGGCTCAGTTCAAATTGGATCTGGCCGAGAAGAAGGCTCAGCAGAAGCACCTCACTGAGGACTAGGAGCATAGGCTTTCCAAGCAGAGGGAAGACCTGCGGGAGTCGTGCAAGGCCGGGTACCGGCCCTTGGAGGCTCAGCAGGCTGAGATGGTCAGCCAGTTCCAGGCCATGATGCAGTCCCACTGGAACAAGGCCCTCCGGCTCTTGGCCACCAACGGTGCTTCCCTCCCAAAGCCCCACACCAGGAGACTGAAGCAGACCCCAATTCAGAATTTCTGCCCCCTTCCGACCCACACAAAAAGACCCCAAAGGGGGAGACTCTCTGCACCAACATAAACGTTCATTGCACGTATCCGTCCCTGGGCCTGTACTTTGAGTTTATAGAGTCCATCCCCTGATTCAGTGCAATATAAAAAATGCAAATAATTTTTCTGCGGACCACCAAAATTTTCTCGTGGACCACCAGTGGTCCATGGACTACCGGTTGGTGACCGCTGCTCTAGTCCAATCCCTTGCTCAAGCAGGAGACCCTTTACCATTACAGACAAGTGGCTGTCCAGTCTTTTCTTAAAAAACTTCCAGTGGTGGGAGCGCCCACAACTTCTGAAGGCAACTTCTGTTCCACTGATTCATTGTTCTCACTGTTAGGAAGTTTCTCCTTAATTCCAGGTTGGTTCTCTCCTTGATTAGTTTCCATCCATTGTTTCTGTCCTTGCCCTCTGGGGCTTTGGAAAATAAGTCGATCCCTCGCCCCCCCCTCTTCTTTGTGGCAGCCCCTCAAATACTGTAACACAGCCAACACTTTTTTTTATTATTATTTGATTTATATGCTGCCCTTCTCCAGAGACTCAGAGCGACTTACAGTGTGCTAAGCAATAGCCTTCATCCTTTTGTATATTTATACAAAGTCAGCTTATTGCCCCCACAATCTGGGTCTTCAATTTACCTACCTTAGAAAGGATGGAAGGCTGAGTCAACCTTGAGCCTGGCGAGATTCGAACCTGCAGTAATTGCAGGCAGCTGGTCTTAATAACAGGGTGCTTTAGACCACTGTACTACCAAGGCTCTACAAGTACTACATTCACATGGACAGTTCCAATCAAAGATAGATACGGTGTTTTCCAAATAACATTTATTTATTATTTTATTTATTAATTCAATTTATATGCCGCCCCTCTCCGAAGACTCAGGACGGCTTACAATGCATTTAAAAAAAAAAAACTATTATAAAAACATTTAAAACATTAAAACCCATTCACACCATTCATGGCCGGATCTCGCCAGATTGCAACAGCGAGATCAACGGCCCCAGGCCTGCCGGAAAAGCCAGGTCTTCACCACTTTTCGGAAGGCCAATAGGGTCGGGGATGGTCCGGACCTCAGGAGGTAACTGGTTCCAGAGAGCTGGGGCAGCCACAGAGAAGGCCCTCCCCCGCGGGCCCGCCAGCCGGCACTGTTTAGCTGACGGGACCCGGAGGAGACCAACTCTGTGGGATCTTACCGGTCACTGGGAGCTATGCGGTAGAAGGCGGTCTCGAAGATAACCTGGCCCTGAGCCATGTAGGGCTTTAAAGGTAATAACCAACACCTTGAATTGTGCCCGGAGACCAATCGGGAGCCAGTGCAGCTCGCGGAGAATTGGTGTAATGTGGGTGTACCTAGGTGCACCCACGACAGCTCGCGCGGTTGCATTCTGGACCAACTGTAGTCTCTGAACACTTTTCAAGGGTAGCCCCATGTAGAGCGAATCATCAATTATTACCAAATAACATTTTTTTTAAAAAAACAAGTTTTATTGGCCTTTTTTTCTTTTCTTCTCTCCCACCTTCACCCACTTCTTTTATTCTTTCTTTCTTTCTTTCTTTCTTTCTTTCTTTCTTTCTTTCTTTCTTTCTTTCTTTCTTTTTTGAACAGAGTGTTGGTCGTTTCTTATCTTATACAATTAATCAAATTCAAATACATTTTTCTCAATTACAATTTTTGTCAATATCGTCTCCCCCCCCTTTCCTTTTTTTTTTTTTGAATATACCTCAGTATTTCCATACTTGCATATATAAACACCTTCTTCATTTATCCCTAAATTCTAACTTTGCTAGTTGTACATATTTGTCCTCTTTTATTCTTTAACAATTCATTCTTTTTCCTAATATAGTTATATTTGTTTGTTCAGAGCTGCCTTTCTTCCACTTCTTCTTCTTCTTCTTTTTATTGTACAGCAATCTTTCTCCTCAAATAACATTTGATGGATAGCGAATCAGATTGATCGAATCGGTTTGAATGGTTAAATTCCAAGCCAGATCAATGGTTTCAATTTCCAGGGTTTAATCAGCTTGGATTTTGCTGGATTAGGCTTAATATTTCACTCTCCTGCTAAACAAATATTGCAAATGACAAGAGCGAAGTACAGAAAGTCCTCATCTTTTGAAATGCTGATCCGTTGGGATCAGAATTTCCATTGCTAAGTAAGGGGGTTATTAAGTGAGTTGTGTCTGATTTTACAAACCTTTTTTGACATGGTTATTAACCAAATCAGTGCAGTTGTTACATGAATCACTTGTCATTAAGTGAATCCAGCTTCCCCATTGACTTTGCTTGTGGGAAACCAGCTAGGAAAGTCACAGATGACGATCGCATGACCCTGCAACCATTGTACATACATGCTGGTTGCCAAATGACTATGGGGATATTGCGATGGTCATTAGCGCGAGGATCGGTCACTTTTTCCAGTACCAACTTTGAACAGCCGACAAATGCATGATTGCAAATCGAGACTTTCCTGTAGTTCGAAATTAGATTTCGAGTTTGGTTGTGCAATCATATCCGGAAATATTTCTCGGCGTCTCTTGAATCCTAATGCGAACTTTGTTCTCTTTTCTTCCTCTCTGTTTTTTTCCTCTCCAGCTACTTCCAACTTAGACCTAGATGTGAAGAAGCCTACCCCACCAAAGCTGTTATGGCATCAACCCGTCAACATATTTTTGGCTCGACCGGTTGGTGTGGAGGACTTACACCATGAAGCTGAGCTCAATCTCCAAAGTTTGCTGCAAGGTACTGAATGTCTGTCTGTCTGTCTGTCTGTCTGTCTCACTCTCTCTCTTGCTGTATCTATCATCTATCTATTTATCATCTATCCATCATCTATCTATCTATCTATCTATCTATCTATCTATCTACCTTATTTATCATCTATTTTTGTCTGTCTGTGTCTGTCTGTCTATCATCCATGCATCCATCCATCAATCCATCCATCCATCCATCCATCATCTATCATTTATCATCTATCTATTTTTTGTCTGTCTGTCTTCTATTTATCTATCATCTATCTATCATCATTTATATCTACCTATTTTTCATCTGTCTGTCTGTGTCTGTCTACTATCCATCTATCTATCTATCATCTATCTATCTGTCAATCTATCTATCATTTATCATCTATTTTTGTCTGTCTTCTATGTATATATCTATCTATCATCTATTTATCTATCATCATTTATCATCTACTATTTTTCATCTGTCTGTCTGTCTGTCTACTATCCATCTATCTATCTATCATCTATCTATCTGTCATCTCTATCTATCATTTATCATTATTTTTGTCTGTCTTCTATGTATATATCTATCTATCATCTATTTATCTATCATCATTTATCATCTACTATTTTTCATCTGTCTCTCTGTGTCTGTCTGTCTGTCTGTCTGTCTGTCTGTCTGTCTATCTATCTATTTATCTATCTATCTATCTATCTATCTATCTATCTATCTATCTATTATCTATCCTCTATTTAATATATATGTTGGGGTGTGGTTTTTTTCCCTCATTCCTTTCTTCATCAAGCAAATTCACTCTTCCATGAACCAGTGATTTGGGAAGGAGGTTTAAAAAAAAAAAGCTAGTCACCCCTTTACAAAACCCAAACAAAATAACATGAAGAATTCCAGCTTCCAAATTTTTTCAGAGCTCCTCAACAGATAAGCAGTTATCGCTTTGAAAGAGAAGACGTGGGAAGAAGGCAAGGCCTTTTGACTCAACATTGCAGGTTGAAAAACATTTAAAGAGGAAATGAAAGTGACCTTGCCCAGGGATAGGTGAAGAATGGATTGTGTACAAATTATCCTAAATTCTGTCCGTCCTTCCTTCCTTCCTTCCTTCCTTCCTTCCTTCCTTCCTTCCTTCCTCCCTCCCTCCCTCCCACCCTCCCTTCCTTCTTCCCTCCCTCCCTCCCTTCCTTTCTTTTCTCCTTCCACTTCCGTCCTCCCTCCCTTCCCTCCCATCTTCCTCCCTCCCTTTTCCTTCCTCCCTGCTCTTCCCTCCCTCCCTCCTTCGTTTCTTCCCTCCCTCCCTCCCTTCTATCTCCTTCCTCTCCCTCCTTCCCTCCCTTCCATCTCCTTCCTTCCTTCCTTCCTCCCTCCCTTCCTTCTTCCCTCCCTCCCTTCCTTTCTTTTCTTTCCTCCTTCCACTTCCCTCCTCCCTCCCTCCCTCCCTCCCTTCCCTCCCGTCTTCCTACCTCCCTTTTCCTTCCTCCCTGCTCTTCCTTCCCTCCCTCCCTTCCTCCTTCCTTTCTTCCCTCGCTCCTTCCCTTCTATCTCCTTCCTTTCCCTCCCTCCCTCTCTTCCATCTCCCTCCCTCCCTCCTTCCTTCCTTCCTTCCTTCCTTCCTTCCTTCCTTCCTTCCTTCCTTCCTTCCAGAAGAGTACGAGGAGCCATATTCGGACGCCAAGATCAGTGGCCAAACTTTCCGCTATGCCAGCTCCCCTTCGGTGGACAGGCATCTGGAGTGCAGTCCTCACCCTGCCCCCAACAAACGCATGGAGTTCATCTACATGGTGAGTCTGGTGCTTTGTAGCTTCTTAAGGGAAATATTGGGGGACCAACCCCCGTGGACCTGGCTGATTCTTTTCCCCATCAATGCCACTTTCCGACAGCCTGCAAGCCAGCAAGTGAAGGAGCATGAAACCACATCCTTGGGGGTAAGAGTGCTGGAGCCTTCGCTTAGCTTGCCTGCTACCCCAGACAAACACACAGTCTGGACCCAGGGATCCCCACTGCCCGCTCTGGAGGAAAAGAGATTACAACAGCCCTGTTCCACCCAAGCCAACATCGTCCCCATCAACGTCTCAGGTAGAGTAGATCGTGAGTGTTTGTTTGTTTGTTTTATTAGATTTATATACCGCCCTACTCCCGAAGGACTCAGGGCGGTGAACCGGCACAAAATAAAATACATAGATACAAAAGTTAAGAACATAATTAAAACCAGATTAAATAATTTAGCCTGAGACAATTAAAACTCCCAATAATTTAAAACAAATTAAAATTTTGATTTAAAAGAATTTTAAAACAGGGGAGAAAATTAGGCCAGGCAGGCTTGCTGGAATAGGAGAGTCTTTAGAGCACGGCGGAAAGTGCGCAGATCCGGGATCCTCCGTATCTCTGGGGGGAGCTTGTTCCAGATAGTAGGTGCCCCCACAGAGAAGGCCCTCCCCCTGGGGGCCGCCAGTCAACATTGTTTAGCTGACGTCACCCGGAGGAGCCCCTCTCTATGGGAGCATACTGGTTGGTGGGAGGCTATTGGTGGTAGCAGGCGGTCCCATAAATAACCAGGTCCTAACCCATGGAGCGCTCTAAGAGTGATAACCAAAACCTTGAAGTGCACTCAGAAGACCACCGGGAGCCAATGCAGTTCGTGCAGGAGAGGTGTTACATGGGAACGCCACGTCGCTCCCATAACCACCCGCGCGGCCGCACTCTGTGCCAGTTGGAGCCTCCGAGTGCTCCTCAAGGGGAGCCCCATGTAGAGAGCATTACAATAGTCCAGACGGGAGGTGACGAGGGCATGAGTTCGGAGAACCCCCCAAATCCCACTCCTGGCTGGCCCCAGTCTATATGTGTACTTCAGGTTTTTCTTGCCTAAGTGTAAGACTTTACTTTTCTCTACATTGAATTTCATCTTGTTAAATAGGGCCCATCTGTCAAGCTGAGATTGAGAAACATTGAGTTAAGGTCATCTGCCTTCCTTGTCTGCTGTCATCTTCTGGACTTCCTTGTCTCCTCTTGGACCATTGAATCTCTTTTGTCTCGGCTATAGGGCAGCCATTCGCTCGACACGCCAGTGCACGACACTCCCTGTTCAATACCGAGACGGCCATGAATCCCAAGTCTTTGCTACGCCGAAGACGGACCGTGATTGGTTTTCCCCACCTCTCTCTCCGTGATCCAGGTGACCAACTGGTGGGGCAGCTGCTCCATTGCTCTTTTAAATTATATATATAATTTGTGGATTTAAAATGTATGTTTTAGGCTACGTTACATCCATGGCTGAATAGAAGGGTCTTGCTTTTTTTTTTTTTTAAGTGAATGTTATTTATTTATTTATTGGTTCGATTTATATGCCGCCCTTTTCCGGAGACTCAGGCGGCTTACAATGCATTAAGCAATAGCCTTCATACTTTTGTATATACCTGCTTAGTAGGGCTTTTGCCCCCCCTCCAGCGGTGTTCTTTTCTATACAAAGTCAGCTTATTGCCCCCACAAACCAGGTCCTCATTTTACCTACCTCGAAAGGATGGAAGGCTGAGTCAACCTATGTTGTGTTCTTGTGGCCCGCCAGCGGCTCTGCGGTGGGTTGGGGAGGAACATGGACCAGTCCTGGAGTCTGAGGAAGGCTCTGATGAGGGCTCTGTGTCAGAGGCAGAGAGGGGGCCAGGGCCGCATGACAGTTATCAGCTACCTTCGGAGTCAGACATCAGTGAGGCAGACAAACAGCTGGAGCCTGTTCCCAGTTGCCAGATGAAGGGAACAGCTAAAGAACAAGGGTCGATCAATGGCCCCTCCCAGAGGGAATAAAAGAGGAACGAAAGGGGAGGGGAGATTGCAGGAGACAATTAGTTCGCTTAATTGGTTCGTGACTCTCAGAGACTTCTTGCCAAGTTTTGAAGATATCGGCCTGGCAGCTTTCCAAGCCAGATAAGGTCTGTGACTGTAAATACACCATTGAAAGACTTTGCTGGATGTGAATGAGAGGAATTCACAGTAACTTAATAAAAAGGGGTTTTGTCGGGACAAGGAGTTCTGCTACATGGTCTTGGGAAGCTGAGGTCAGAACATGTGTATCTAAATAAGAAGTATCCAACCTTGGCGACTTTAAGGCCTGTGGACTTCAATTCCCAGAATTCCCCAGCTGGCTTGAACAGGCAGAATTCTGGGAGTTGAAATCCACCACAGGTCTTAAAGTCATCCAGGTTGGACACCCCTGATCTAAGTCAGGAGACATACAAGAGGCAGAGCTTCTCTACTCTGTTTTCATCCTTGCCTTTCTAACTCTTCTCTAGGAAGTAGCAATGGGCCCATCCTCAACCCACCAGCCACCATAGCTGAGTCCATCTCTTGCAATTTTGTCCCTGATGTGGTCAACGGGAGGAGCTCCACTCGCCAAGCCCGTTCTCCTCATTCCCGGCCACAGCTGAGAAAGACCTTCAGTGATCTTGGGGGGGTCCTACAGGGACGCGGTTGCCAAATCCAAGCAGGCCGTGCTGAGAACTCCAAGGTGATGTACGCCAGTCCATTGTGCAATGGCCCCAAAGAAGACTCCGTCTTCTCTCCTGGTTGCGGCACATCCTCCTTCTGCTACACCAACTCTTCTGTGAGCCAAAACGAGGTGGCAGCAGAGAGTGCATCTCAGATGTCTCCTTGCACACCCAGGGATACGCCAGAGGCAGATCAACCCTCTTCCTTCTTCATTAGCCAAGACAATATGGCTGGGACCAACGAGTGTGGGACGTTTTGCGCTTCTCCAGAGTCCCCCTTAGAGGCTGAAGGAAGCTTGCGGTGTGGAAGAAGAGATCTCAAAGTCCCCACGGCCCTTGTCCACTCAAGCGAAGAGGAATCTTCCCAACTGGAGAGGGAGCGAATCATGTGCAGATTCCGTGAGAGGTCGCTCTCCGTCCCTACGGACACCGCCTCCCTATGCTCGGTGGACATTGGGGGCAGTGAGACCTGTGGCCTTAGCTATCCCAGCGCTAGCTCGGAAGGGAGCACGAGCACAGATAACATCTCCCTGGCTGTGGATCAGGAGGCCCGAAAACAGCGCCGGCAACGAACCAAGAGCATCTCCCTCAAGAAGGCCAAGAAGAAGCCTTGTCCGCCCACCCGCAGCGTCTCTTTGATCAAGGAAGGCGAAGCAGAAGAGAGCGGTGAGGTGCTTTCCCAGGACCAGAGGCCCAAAAGTCTTTATTTGCTGCCTGATGCACAGGTCCACAACAAAATCCAAGGTGATCCAGCGAGAGAATTGGAGAGCAGGTCGTATGTCCAGCAGGGTTTTGTTCCTGAATGGAATTCCGGTGATCCTTATTGCTCTTTGTCTGGATCCAGCACTGCTACTGGGACTACTGTAATTGAACTGTCAAAGGTACGGGGTAGTTCTGAGTCCCTCCCTTCTCCTTCCGTCTCTCGGGCCACCACCCCATCTCACCTCTGTGCCGACATGAGTTTGAAAACCTCTTCCCCGGGGAGGTTGACAGGGGTAATGTCTCCTTCCAGCGGCTACTCCAGTCAATCCGAAACACCAACCCCAACGGTTCCAACCTCCATGGTTCTGGGTCATGTTCCTCACCAGAGCGGGCGGCCAAGGCCCCTTGTGCCAGAGAGGAAGTCCTCCTTACCCCCGGTTTCTCCGATGGAACGAAGCCCCAGGTCTCGCCTCTCATTCGACCTGCCATTTGCCCCGCCGACACATCTGGACCTCTCAGGCTTGAAGATCTCGCACAAGAGCAAAGCCAAAGTAAGCCGACACCACTCGGAGTCGACCTTTGGAGCCAAGTTGGGCCCCAAGCTGAGCCCGGTACAGCCAGTTATGCCGATGGTGACCCAGTTAGACCTGCGTTCGGTCCGTTTGCGGTCTATCAGCCGATCGGAGACCGAGGATAACCTGGACAGTCCCGAGCTACTTGAGGAACCTGGCAAGAAGATCCGGCCCCCGGTGGCAGAAAAGCCACCCCTGTCCCGAAGGCCACCAATGCTGTTGCATAAAACGCCACCAGTCCAGGAGGAGTCCCCGGTGAGCTCTCCGACTTCTCCAGCGACACCCCAGGAGTTGGTCCCTGCAGAGAACATTTATATGATGGCCAGGAGGCCAGATCACTTGTGGGATGCCAGCACATGGAGCCCCACACAATCCCCTTCTGCTGAGGGGGCAGCGTCTCCTACACAAGGCACCCCAGGGACGTTCTTCTCCGCTTCACGGAGGCTCTCGGAGGATAGCCTGGAGGAGGATGAGCAGACGAAGGCCAAGGTTTTCGATGAGGCGTTGTTTGGTGGAGAGAGCCGTAAAACGAAAGTCCCGCCTCCTGTCCCAAAGAAGCCTAGTGTGCTTTACTTGCCATTGGTGACTTCCCCACTCCATCCAGGGCCTTGCCCTGGGGATCAGAGGTTACCTCCTAGCCCAGTCATCATGCTAGATGAGGATTCTGCCTACTCAGAACTGACCACTTACAAAGTGCCGTCCCCAGTTGCCAATGAGGTGAATGTAAGTCCAATTCCTGCAGACCTATCATGGGGAGACATTCCAGGTAAGTCTTCTTGTTTTTTGTACTTCAGGGCAGAGGTGGGATTCACTTACCTTCCCTACCAGTTCGCAGACGTGAGTGCATGCACGCATGTGCAGTAGTCGCACATTGCATCCAGGCAGGTGGGCGGAGCCTCCCTCAGCCACTACCGGTTCGCATGAACCGGACAGAACCGGCTTAATCGCACCACTGCTTCAGGGTGATTGAAGGAAGGCCTTAGCTCCAGTTAAGGTGTAAATGCAAACTAAGGAAAAATTTCCTGACTGTGAGAACACCTTGCCTCTAGAAGTTGTGGGTACTCCATATGGGAGTTTTTCAAGAAGAGTTTGGATGGTCATTTGTCCAGAATGGTATACGGCAGTGATGGCTAACCTTTTTGCCATCTGTACCGGGGGGGCGGGGGCGGATCGCACGCGCATGTGCCTACTCCCATAATTTTATGTGCCCTGCCCTGTGCATGCACATGCAACCCCCCCTTCACTCCCGCTCCTGGCACATGATGGCCCAGTAGGCCCGTTTCTCACCTGGCTCCAGATCCTCTCTATGCATCTGGGGAGGGCAAAAACAGCCTTCCCCACCCACCCCCAGGCCCTCCGGAGGAAGGAAACAGCCTGTTTCCCTACTTCTGGTGGGCCTCAGTGGGCCCAAAATCAGCTGGCCGGCGCGCGCATGCATGCCAGAGCTGTGCTGGCATGCCCACTGATATGGCTACGTGTGCCATAGGTTCACCATCACGGGTATAGTGTCTCATGCTTGAGGAGGGGTTGGATTAGAAGGCCTTCAATGTCCCTTCCAACCTGATTATTCTATGTCTGATGATTGTCCTTCCTTGGGACTTCATAGAAGTTCAATATCTGGAACCACGTGTGCTCTCCACAGATGACAATGCATCTTACAGGATTTGGCAGGCTACACTTGCGAGGCTCTCGCAACACTTTAAGGCGAAACAAAACACCCAACAACTAAACACAGCCTTACCCAACGTGCCTTACATATGGGCTTCAACTCCCAGGATTCTCCGCAGTGGTCTTGTTGCTGTGAAATTCCAGGCACTGATCAAAAATATCTGCAGAATGTGTAGGATGGGACACTCAGTTAATGAATGGGATTGTAGACTAATCTGATATGTATGGTGCAGGTCTTGCAGATTAGGGATGCAAAAATCCAGCCAACCACTAGATAGCAGCAGAGAGAGAAGGAACACTGTTTTAGCCATTCTGTGGCCAACTGGATGGGTTTCCTGAAGAGGGTGGGAAAACTCAAACCAATATCTTTCAAACAAAGTATTCTACCTTATTTTATTGCCCTTCCTTCATGAGCAGATGCTGCCTGTCGTTGTTTGAGGGATGCCCTGTTTCTTTTTTGTGTCCTACTTGCTGTCTGAATCCCACTTGTAGGAAGCAACCTATTTTTTCCCCCAAGGTTCTCGTTTTCTTTTCCGTAGGGAATTCTGTGGGTTTGAGGACCAAGGAGAAACGCTTCGTAAATGACAAAACAGCCGAGTCCATAACCGAGGAAGATGACGATGTCTTTGTAACAACCCGAACCACAGAAGATTTATTCACTGTCATTCACAGGTGAGAGTTTATCCAGGGGACGATTCTTGAAGGACCATTCTGGGCTGCTTGCCCAACCCCGCATCCCTGGGGCTACCTCCCCTCCCACCACTCTGTCTGCTTTGAGTGAGAAAAAGACCTAAGTTTAGTTCAGGGGTCAGCAATCTGCGGCTCTGGAGCCGCATGTGGCTCTTTCACCCCTCTGCTGCGGCTCCCTGTCACTCAAAATATGCGTCACAACCGCCAATGTGCAACACCCCGCCAGCATGCAATTTATTGAGCTTTTCAACCCCCGGTAGGCCAACCATGGATAAATCCAAGAAAAGAAAAGTTTCAGAAGAAAACAGAACGTTTAATTCAACTACATATGCTAGTTTTGTGGCCGCTCAAGAAAGAGTCAGGTACGGGAAGGGTTTTGTGGCTCCCGGTGTTTTCTTTTCTGTGGGAAATGGGTCCAAATGGAATGTTTAAGGTTGCAGACCCCTGGTTTAGTTCATCTTTCTTTGTCGTGTCCCTGTTGCTCCTTGAGTTTACCCGGCATAGGTGCAGAAGATTCCTTTGGCAGATCTTCTAAACCAGGAGTATCAAACTCAATTTCACTGAGGGCCATATCAGGGTTGTGTTTGACCTCGGGAGGGGGGCGTGGCCAGGGGGGGCATGGCCAGCTTGACATCACTCGTGTCAGGAGCACTTGTGGTGGCCTGAGCACTCTGTCAGTGAAAACGGACTCCTGAGTTCCGTTTCAGCTGCGACGGCCTCCTGCAACCCTCTGCTAGTGAAAACGGAGCTCGGGAGGCCCGTACACAGCTCTCCCAAGCTCTGTTTTCACTGGCAGAAGCACCGTCGGCCAGTCCTTTGCTGTTCCTAGGGTGGCCCCATGGGCCAGATCTAAGCACCCCACAGGCTGGATCCGGCCCGCAGGCCTTGAGTTTGACACCGCTGTTCTAAACATTCTCAATCAACAGCCTTTGAGCCACATGCCCCAGCCTTCCTCCTGTTTATTTTCTTACAAAACCCTCCCCCTCAACCCCACGTGTGAAAATTGATGACAAACTGCCAGATTAGAACAATTTTCCTCTTAGCAAAGTAGAGAAGTTACATAAACGTGGCAGGCCTCCTACGTTACTTTTTTGAAAGCTTACCCAAAGTGGCTTACCCAAAGTTGGGGGGGGAAAGGAACTGACCACTCCAGCCCCACCAGTTTAATTACCCAACCTCAAATAGTGATGATGTTACCTAGTCAGGTAACATGAAATGTCTGCAAGAAAACAGCCAAGCTCAGGGAGCAGCAAGGACCCCACAGTTCAACCCCGAGCTACAAATGTTCTTTTCTACTGAGAGTTCTTGCAGATGATGGATGGATGGATAGATGGATGGATAGATGGATGGATGGATGATGGATGATGGATGATGGACGGATGGGTGGGTGGGTGGGTGGGTGGATGGATGGATGGACGGATGGATGAGTGGATGGATGGATGGATGGATGAGTGGGTGGGTGGATGGATGGATGGATGATGGATGGATGGATGAATGGGTTGGTGAGTGGGTGGGTGGGTGGGTGGAGGATGGATGGATGGATGGATGGATGGATGGATGAGTGGCTGGCTGGGTGGATGGATGGATGGAGGATGGATGAGTGGGTGGGTGGGTGGGTGGATGGATGGATGGGTGGGTGGGTGGATAGATGGATGGACGGATGGATGAGTGGATGGATGGATGGATGAGTGGGTGGGTGGGTAGATGGATGGATTTGTAGCTTGTGTACCATTAGAAATATTTCCCTAGCTTCTAGATGGCTCCCAATCTATCAAGTATTGGTTGTGATAGTGGCCATCACTCCATTTCTCCCTCGTAGTTCTTCTCATCATCCTTTTGTTCACAGATCCAAGCGGAAGTTACTGGGCTGGAAGGAACCCAGTGACTCCTTTACCAACCGACCAAATTCCCAGATGCCCACCAAGAACATCGCAGGGCTGGTGATCCACGAATGCCCTTCCAGCACAAGCAGAACCTCGAGCAAAAACGAGGACTTCAAGGCTCTCCTTCAGAAGAAAGGCGGCAAAGGGGCCTCGGGCATCCGAACATCTGCAGCTGAACTTCTCAAGACCACCAATCCCTTGGCTCGGAGGGTCATGACTGAGTTTGCCGTGGATGGGACAATCCCAAGCTCCAAAATTCAGCCCTGAGTTTCTTTCAAGAACTCCTCTTTGCAGTATATGCCCCTTTATCCTTCTGATCCTCTTCCAAGTTGACCTTAGGAGTGAGTCTGTTTCCCCCTTGAAGCTTCAGCATCTGGGTTGAATTGTTTCCCTGCAGCCAAAACTTTTTCCGGGTTTTTACTGGGTGGAATGGGACTTTTAGTCTCCTACCCTTGGCCACGCCTCCTTCCCCCCCAGCGTTATTACTCAGGTGATTCTCTTTGGATGTTTCTCCTCGGATGACACAACCCTAGCTGTTCACCCTGGCCAATTTGCCACGGCCGCCTGGGACAGTTAGCCGCCAGCAGCTATCAGCTAAACTTGTATAAGCTTGTTAGGAAAAGGAACGGGAGGGGGTGTAAAGTAGCAAAGAACAGGTTCTTGTTTCCCTTCCCTTTGGATGAAGCTCGGTACTTACCATCCCTCCCCCCGCTCTTCCCTTCCTGTACTTTGTTACTTTCTACCCCCTCCCGTTCCTTCCCCTAATGACGGCTAACTGTCCCGGGTGGCGAAAAACCCAGGATGAACCCTCCTTCTACGAATTGGCCACGCTGAAGCATGTGGGACGAAGGGGCCGTGGCCCATTGGCTAGGGCGAACTGCTAGGGGTGTGTCAGCCAAGGAGAAACGTCAGAGGAGAATCAGTGGTGGGTTCCTCCCAGTTCGGCCCGGTTCCGCTGAGCTGGTAGCAGTGACGAAATGACGTCACCAAACCGGTTCTGCCTCACCCCCACCCACCCCCGCGTTATTCTTACCTTTTATTTGGCCCCACCTCCAATCTATTCGCTGCCTCCTGAGTCCCAGCTGATGGGCTATAAGGAAAAACTGTTTAAACTCTTGCCGTGGGCTTCAAAGTGCCGCCTTACAGCTGACCAGTGGTAAAAGGCAATTTGGTAGTAGACCGGTGCCTCCAAAAACAAATGAGTAGACCGGTGCCTGCAAAAATACATGAGTAGACCGGTGCCTGCAAAAATAAATGGGTAGACCAGTGCCTGCAAAAATACATGAGTAGACCAGTGCCTGCAAAAATACATGAGTAGACTAGTGCCTGCAAAAATACATGAGTAGACCGGTACAGTTCTGCAAGCAGTTAAAAGCCTGGTAGACCAGTACCTCTGCTAAATTGTAAAGAATTGTCACATGACCATCAAGCCATGCCCACAAAATAAGCCACGCCCACAGAACTGGTAGTAAAAAGAAATTAGAACCCACCCCTGAGGAGAATCGCCCGAGGAATAACGCTGGGGGAGAAGAAGGCGTGGCCAAGGGTAGGAAACTAAAAGTCCTAGACCCTTACTGGGAGGGAGGGTGGTTGGGGGAATGAGTGAGGAAGAGGATGAGGAGATGACTCTAGATTCAAGAAAAGTGTCTTAAATGAACAGCACACCCATCATCCCTTGTGGAATTTGCCCCACACTTTTCCTCTTTAAGAGACAGAAATTTTCTTTTTCTTTCCCGGGTTAGACAAAGAGACTTGCACAAATGGATGTTCCTAGAAAAGGGCTATCACAGGTGGGTGTCAAGAGAGTTATACTTAACACTTTCCTCCCTGATTGCATGAGGAACAAAATCTCTCTCTCTCCTTCTCCTTCTCCTTCTCTCCTTCTCGCTTCCCTTCTTTCTCTCTTCCCTTCTTTCTCACTGTCCTCCTTTCCCTCTCTTTCTCTTTTTCTCTTTTCCAGGTGTACAAATTTGGGAGCTCCTCATTTTGATTTCTTCTCCGCAACAAAGCTAACTTGGAACTGTCCAGTTCCTTTGGCATGTGGTACTTTTAAGTGCTTGTAGGATTATAATATGCAGCTGTTGTGGCTTTTCTTCTTCTTTTTAAACACACACACAAACACACAAACACAACATACAGACACACAAACTCTGATCTTCTATTTTTTTTTTTTTTAAACTTTAGGTTGCAAAAACTTTTTAGGAGTTTTGACCGACGAGTCACTTTAGAGAGATGAGGCTGAAAACAGAGTTGTCTTTTGGGTACAAATGGCTTTTGTCCAGTTGATGAAATGCTGTCAAACACAGGTACAGATGGGGTTAGAGCTTGCGTCACAACGATACAACACTGCTGTTGTCGCTTGCTCCCCCCTTGTTGGCCCCACACAGAGGATGAAAAGTGCTTAACAGGATATCCCTAGTGAGATCAATCTAATTTGAAGAGAAGAATGGAAAAAGAAAAGATGGAGATAAATATTGGTAGGATTCCCCCCTCGGCAAAGCAACGTTGGAAGAATTTCCAGATTTTCTTAAAAGTGAGTTAGTGGCATTTTTGTATTTCTGGTCATGCAGAGGCTGTCATTTTTCCATACTTTTGTCTTAGTTCATGGTTTCTCCATGAGAAAACACCTTGTATTTTGGAGAAACTACATAGATCAATACTGGCAAATAATTCATTTCCTCATTCCCCTCCCCAACTGTCTTAAAAGAATACTCCCTGCCAACAGATTGGTACACTTTGCATATATCGATATATGGATTTATGAAAAACGGACCTGCCCAGAGGTGGGCTGCTGGGGGTTCGCAGGGGTTCGGGAGAACCTCTAGCTAAGATTCTGTGCAGTTCGGAGAACCTCCAAATCCCACTCTTGGCTGGCCACACCCACCATGCCCCTCCCAGGAGTCCCCCACGTGGCCCGTTTTGGATGCAGGTAAGTGCAGGGCATGCATGGAGGCTCGGGGAGGGCGAAAATGCCTACCAGAAGTTTGAGAAGGCCATAAATGGGCCTGTTTCCAGCCTCCAGAGGGCCTCTGGAGCCTGGGGAGGCTGTTTTCGCCCTCCCAGATGCTCGAGGAAAGCCTCCGGAGCCAGGGGAGGGCAAAAACGCCCCCACCCCCATGGTGCAGGAGGCTGACTAGGCCACGCCCACCATGGCCACGCCCACCCAGCAACTGGGCAGAGAACCCCTTGCTAAAATTTTTGAAGGTCACCCCTGGACCTGCCCTATTTTCAAGGTTCATTTTTTGCAAACATAAAGCCTTGAAATACAAAATGAATCTCTCTGTTTGGAGGCATTAAACTCTTTTTTTAAAAAATGGCCAGCTGTGTTTCAAAAACCACTTTGCCACCCCATTAGAATAGCCTACACCCCTCCCCCCAAACTTGTCTGGGCTGTACAACCTTTCTTTTATTAGATTTATATACCGCCGTACTCCCGAAGGACTCAGGGCGGTGAACAGGCACAAAATAAAATACATAAATACAAAAGTTAAAAGATATAAGTAAAACCAGATTAAATAATTTAGCCCAAGACAATTAAAAAATCCCAATAATTTAAAACAAATTAAAATTTCGATGTAAAAGAATTTTAAAACAGGGGAGAAAATTAGGTCAGGCCAGCTTGCTGGAATAGGAGGGTCTTAAGAGCACGGCAGAAAGTGCGTAGATCCAGGATCCTCCGTATCTCTGGGGGGAGCTCGTTCCAGATAGTGGGTGCCCCCACAGAGAAGGCCCTCCCCCTGGGGACCACCAGTCGACATTGTTTAGCTGACAGCACCCGGAGGAGCCCCTCTCTATGAGAGCATACCGGCTGGTGGGAGGCTGCTTGTGGTAGTAGGCGGTCCCGTAAATAACCAGGTCCTAAGCCATGGAGCGCTCTAAAGGTGATAACCAGAACCTTGAAGCGCACCCAGAAGATCACCGGGAGCCAGTGCAGCTCACGCAGGAGAGGTGTCACACGGGAGCACCATGTTGCTCCCATAACCACCTGCGCGGCTGCACTCTGCGCCAGTTGGAGTCTCCGGGTGCTCCTCAAGGGGAGCCCCATGTAGAGAGAATCATACCTAGAATCTAGAACCTAGAATCATAGGACAAGGAAAGGACTGCAGAGATCTTCTAGTCCAGGCAGGGGCCTTGTATAACAATTGTCAGAGTCTTTTTTTTGAAAACCTTCAGTGATGGAGCAACCAGAACTCACAATATAATGGTTGTTGGAAAACAAAACCTCTCAAGCCGTTAGTAGTTGCATCCAACCCAGTTGGATGAAGTAGATTCGTTGAACATTCATTGTATGGCCAACTTGTCCCCTTGTTTTCTGTGGGTGTGCCCCAACCAAATTTGGATTCTACCCAGTTTCCCACAGCTCCTTCGAAATAACAAGGAGGTTAATTAAGCATCAGCTGCCCTTAACTAGTCCATTGAATCTGATGCCTACAAAAACCAGTAGGTTAACTCAAACCCCTCAGTCTACCTGTTCAGCTATGATCTCCTCTGTGGTGCCCTGACTTGCATGTCTTATTTTTTATTTATTTTCTTGCTTATGGCCTCATTTTCTACTCCCTCGGCGAATGCGTTAGACAGAAACCAAGCTGAGGATGATAGGTTTAGATGCAAAGACAATCATTAGAATTACCCAGCATGCTTGCTATTCAATGACGTAGCCTTTCCTGCTTTCTGAGCTGCCCTCCGGTGAACAGTGCTGTTAGCCTCTAGCAGCGTTTCTCAACCTTGAAAAATATATTGGACTTCAACTCCCAGAATTCCACCAGGGTTGGCTGGGGAATTCTGGGAGTTGGAAGTCCACACCTCTTCAAGAGGCCAAGGTTGAAGAACAATGCTACACACACAAACATATATATACATACAAACAGCAATCCGTGCATTAATGCCTTTCTATGGTCCTATTTCTTCATAGCTTCTATGCGTGTAGCATAACCTGGAGGATTAGGGCAAAACATACAACATTTCCAATGTGTGTTTTGAACAAACCCAGCATCCGATGTTCTGAACCAATTGACAGATATATATATATATGTAGGTCTTTGGTTATTCGGGTCTTCTCCCACGTAAAATTGGAAGTGTCTTGGCGACATTTCGATGAAGTCTCATCACCAACGTCCAGTTTATTCTGGAATAAATCAAAATTCCAACCAGCACTTGGATAAATGAAACCTGGTTACTAATGCCAAGTTATTTCTCCCGGATGCTATTTTGTGTAACAAATACCAAAACGAGTTCAGTAGTTTAAAAACAATAGCTTAAAAAAATTGGGTGAAAGGATATTGTTTCGATCGTTTCCCCAACAGTTAAATTTAAAGGGGTTTTGTAGCATCACACAAAGATCATTGAGTGATTATAAAACCTGCCGTAATTACTGTTATTTTGGCACAACCATGACTGAACAACTCTCGAAGAAATTGAAAATCAAGAGTAGGGACATGGCTATCGTCAGAGGCATCCAACTGTTCTATCTTTCTCATTTTAACACAAGATGACTCTTCCGCATTTGAAGAAATCATAGTCCCATTGTCCCCAGCAGAAAAAAACAAAAATTAGAACAAAATTCAGGACTCTTGAATTTTGTACGGTCATACTGGACAAAAATGATTTGCCAAAGGATTTTATTTTATTTCATTTTTTTTATTCTGGGGAGTGGCAAGTTTCAGAATGGCAAATTTGAGACGACTTGAAATGAATGTTAAATTCCTGATACAACCCTAGAAACTGTAGTTGCGGGAGACTGCAGGTGATCCTTGACCCATAACCGCAATATTTCCGCTCCTCAGCAAGACAATTGTGAAGTGAGCCACGCCCCAATCGTATTGCCTTTTTGCCACAGTCGTTCAATCAATCAATGCAGTGGCTAAGTCCTTAAGCGAAGCCCGATTTCCCCCATTGACTTTGCTGGTTGGGAAGTGATCACATGACCCCCAGGATAGGGCAACTGTCATAAGTCCATGCCAGTTGCCGAGCACCAAATTTTGATCATCATGTGACCAAGAGGATGCTGCTGCATTGGTCGCAAGTGAGAAACCCTATCATAAATCAACTTTTTTTTCCCGTTGTCGGTGTAACTTTGGAACTAAACGAAGAGTTGTAAGTCAAGGATGGCCTACCGCAACAAAACGCACCATTTCTCCTCCCTTAATCCTGAACATTGTTTACAAAATGTCATTTCTAAAGTTCTTTGATTCTTTGGTTTGGAGCCATGATAGTGAAATGAACATGACACTCGTTTTAGTTCGAGATAACGTTGATGTATAGCTTGCAGGCTTTAGCATTCGTTCCGCCTAAAAATAATCATCTTTCTAAATGCGTTGCTCTTTATAAGAGTTGTTCTACAAATTGCAGATGTAGAGTTAGACAACAGCTGGTACCTAACGCTATCCTCACTGCAAACATTAATTTTATTAATGCTTTATCACAGCTTTCCCCCAAGAACTTGAAGTGTTGCTTGCTGAGATCCTCCATTCATTTTATTCCCAAAACTCCAGTCGACTTTCCTGCTTGCTGGAGCTTCTGAGGTTTTCATCTAACAGATTTAGAAGGCATTGCATTGCAGGTAATCCTCGACTTATGACCACGATTGAGCCCAACATTTCCATCGCTAAGCCAGACAGCGATTAAGTGAGTCTCACCCCATTTTACGACCTTCCTTGCCAGAGTCGTTAAATGGATCACTGCAGTTGTTAAATTAGTAACCCAGTTGTTCAGTGAATCTGGCTTCCCCATTGCGGTCAGGAGGTCACAAAAGCGGATCATGTGACATCACCACCACCATCCCAGGACACTGCAACCATCATAAATATGAGCCAGAGTTGCCCAAGTTTCTGAATTTTGATCACAATGCTGCAATGGTCGTAAAGGTGGAACATGGTCATCGCAACTCTCCTTTTTTCAGCACCGTTGTAACTTCGGAACGGTCGCTAAGCAGACTGTTGTAAGTTGAGGATTACCTGAGCTTTTATCCCGCTGAACCGTGTCAAAAAAAAAGTCCTAGTGGCTGCAGTCACCTAACGTGCTGAGCTTGGTTTGTGTTAACCTCGGTTAAGTGTGTGTGGGGGGGAGGTTGATGTGGCTTTGTGTGGTGCGAACCCCGTTTAGTTAACGGTGCCGTGTATTTTGCAGACCCAAAGAATGGGTTATTTCCCGTAACTCAGTTAAGCATGGTTGTGTGGATGCAGCCTCTGACTTCCTTGTTACCAAAAAGTGCCCCTAACAATACAGGGTAGGAGCCTTAGCAATTTGCTACCAGGAGCCAACAGCAATTTGTCACATATGCAGACTGAAACAGGGTGACTTTGTTTAATAGAGATGTATATAGAAATATATGTATTCAAAGCTTAGTTTTCTATGAATCCTGCTGTATCTTACCTGCCTGTATGAAATTCAACATATCCTGCCTGAGCATATTCAATTTATTGCTGGATTGTATCAGGATTTAATTTTCTCTGTCTGGATTGTGGTTTCTTTTTTTTTCTTTCTTTCTTTTTTTTTTTGGCGGCGGAGGGGGAGTTTGGGGGAAGGGGAGGAAGCGGTTATCTGCATAAAAAGCGAGCCAAGGTTTAAATTCTTCCCCAGTGGAAGAGACTTCCAAGCCTCTGCTACGCATCAATAGACTTGCTGTCCCTACAGAACTGCCCCAGTGAGGTTCCGCTATTAAGGGATGGAGAGAAAGAGATGGAATATATATTATGATTTATTATTATTATTTAGAAGATGATGGCTAACGCTGAACAAAGACCTCTCATCTTCAGGGTCTTGGAAGAATTGGGATGGAAATGTGGTTGCTGCAGGTTTTCCGAGATGTGCATTAGAAAAAGAAACAATGAGATGATAAGACTGAGAAGCGTTGAATTTTTCGGATGAATTCAGAAAAGAACGTACTGTAAATCTACGCACAGATACCTGCATTTTGTTATTAGTTGCGAAGTTGTGTCCAACCCATCGCGACCCCATGGACAACGTTCCTCCAGGCCTTCCTATCCTCTACCATCCTCTGGAGTCCATTTAAGCTCACGCCGATTGATTCAGTGACTGTTGTGATCCAGGCCCAAGTAGGTAGTAATCGACGCAAACAGTTCCAAAACAAACAGACTTTATTAGAACAGCTGAGAATTAACTCATTCTCAGCATGGTCCAAACTAAATTAAAACAAACTCTTCATAACACAAATTCTTCAGTCTAATCACCAACCTTGGTATAATTAGGCAAATTGCCAAAGGCTTCTCTTGGCAAACGTTCAAAAGCAGAAGACGCCGGCAAGAGATAAGTGCAGCAATACTATCAGCGTTGTTTTCCGACAAAGAGCCCAAGAGCCCATTGCTGGTCTTTTAAGCCTTATGGGAGGGGCCAATCATCTCTTGGCCCTACTCCCGAGATGTCCTCTTTGCTTTAGCTGCTCTTGCCTTCTGGTAGCTCTTCTCATACGTGCACTAGGAACAGGCTCCTGCTGTTCCTCTGCCTCTCTGCTGTCAGCCTCTGGAGGCTCTGGAGTCTACACCTCACTCCCCGATGGCCCTGGCCCCATCTCTGCCTCTGACACAGAGACCTCATCCGGGCCTTCCCCAGCCTCCAGGACTGGCCCATGTTCTTCCTCAGCCTCATCACTGCCACTGCTGCTGGCAAACCACAACAGTGACTCCATCCAGCCGCCTCGTTCTCTGTCGTCCCTTTCTTCTTTTGCCCTCAACCTTTCCCAGCATTAGGCTCTTTTCCAGTGAGTCCTTCCTTCTCCGTATAGAAAAACCAGGAATATCCTCAAGTGCCATAATTCAAGAATGGAAAAAATCATAATTGGGCTTAAGGAGTAATCCATATTGAAAGTAAAGTACAGCATATAACACAGTGATTCAGCCAGTTCACACCATTTCAGGAGAACCAGTTGTTAACTTTCTGAGCGGTTTGGCAAACTGTTTATTGGAATAAATCATTAGGGCAGAGAACCGGTTGTTAAATTACTTGAATCCCATCACTGATATAACATATATACTCCTATGTAAAAAAAAACCAAGTTTAGTCTACTGACGACTGCAAAGATGGGGTTGCTTATCTACTTCAAAGAAAATTTAGTTTTTATCAAAGAAAGAATTGGGGCTCAACATTTTTCTCTTGGGCTAGCTTGGTCAGGAAGCTGGATTTTAGAAATAATTTGAGCAGGGAGAATAACACGCAAAATCCATCATCTCTGGCTTGAAATGTGCCGAGATTCTCTCGTTTCCTTTGCTCGCATTAATTTATATCCATAAGATTAGTGTTAGAGTCATTGTACAGTTGGAGAGCTGGGAGCAGTTGAGAGGGCTCCCGTTTGGCATTGGGAATATCTGAGCTGCCGATTTTGGCCGTTTCTGTTGAAGGCTTTCCTTGGGCTGCCCCACGGTGGGAGGTGTGTTGAGCGCGAGAAGGAAGAGCAGTTTTCTGAAGTTCTGCTATAGTCACATGGAGCCCCAAATCATCAAGCAGAGAGAAACGGGGTTCAGATTAACAGCACATACATGGTCTCAAAATAGAGACCAATGTGAGAACACCAGGGCCTGTTGCATCCAACTGATCCTGCTACTCCGTTATTCTTCCTTCTATTTAGTTCTCACGAATAACTGGGTGATCCATTTATCAGGAGGCTCAAATTGTTCAAGAGGTTGAGTACTTCTTTTTTAAAAAAAATAATTTTTATTAAACATTTATTTTAATACGAACAAACAAACCTACAAACAACAACAAAACAAACAAACAAACAATCACTGTTCGTCACTGTTCTTCAGTCTGATGTTATTTTGTTAATAAAAGTAGGATGAGGGAATGGGGTGTGTGTGGATAGATAGATAGATAGATAGATAGATAGATAGATAGATAGATAGATAGATGATACACAGAGATGATACAGGTAGACAGATGAGATAAAAGATAGATAGATGTAGATAGATACCGTAGATAGATGGATAGATAGATAAATAGATAGATAGACAGACAGATGATACAGATAGACAGATGATGGATAAAAGATAGATGTAGATAGATAGATGATAGATGATAGATAGATAGATAGATAGATAGATAGATAGATAGATAGATAGATAGATAGATAGATAGATAGAGTAGATGGATGGATAGATAGATACCGTGGATGGATGGATGGATAGATAGATACCATAGGTAGGTAGGTAGGTAGAAGGAAAGGAACAGAAGGAAGGAAGGATGAATGCTTATGTTCGACCAGTTGTATGAGAGAAAAGAAATAACAGCTCCTTTTGCTCTGAAGATCTCGTCAGTAAATAAAAATCTATTGCTCTCAGTTTGGCTATACCTGGTTTGAAATGTACCATTGGGAAGAAGAAAATTGGAGCAAAAGAGCCGTGAAAAAGGAAGTGATGGCTAAGCGATTTAATGCGCAAAGTGTCTCAGAAATGCCTCCTGTAGACTTGAGTAGGCTTTGAACGCCAGCGTAGAGCAGAAGTTGAAGCTCTCATCCAATATTGATAACAAACAAGAGAAGCCTTATTTTCACAAGGTCCATTTTGGGTTTTTCGTGGCAGATCAGTTGCTGTAACAACATGTATTAAGCACTTCGCTCCCTTCAGTACAAGTTGTCTTCGTTGGGCAGTACGGAGTACAAGTTGTTCTTCAGCAATCTGCTTATCTCTCGTTGTGGTCGTTCCTTCTGTACCCAAACCATCCCCACAAAGTTTCTTTCTTGTTAAAGATGTGTTGCAATTTTTCTCTGAAAAGGCAAAGGGAGCAAGTACACCACAATTAGCTCTTCTGTCTCTTTGTAGGTTAAACGGATTATTTTCTCAAAGAGTGCATTAGATTGCTTCAGCCCTGTGATGCCGGTAAGTTGTTCCTTTTGCTGGGCAACATCAATTAAATACACACACACCTTTTTTTAGATATGGAAGTTACATCAAATCATCTATAATATGACCTTGGATGGCCAGAGGTAGTATTTGCCGGTTCTCTGAACTATTCAAAATTTCTGCTACCAGTTCTCCAGAACCTGTTAGAACCTCTGGATTTCACCCCTGGTTCATCTCAGACTCAGTCTGATATTAGAAGTCATGGGAATATCACGCTCCGGGGTGAAAGTTTCTTGTGATACCTATTAATGAAATGAATCTATTCTGCAATGCCAAACAACATTACGGTATAAGATTTTTTTTTCCTTTTATTTTTCTTAATCTCCTACTTCATTCTTTGTGGAGGTACTTCCTCCTCCTTCTACTCTCTGTTAACACGTTTCTAAAAAGGTCTTCGTGAGCTTCATTCACGCCAAGGCCGATATAGGGAGATGTTGGTTCTTCTGCATAGCCTCTCGCCTTCTCCTGTGGAACAGTTCTGCGCCATTATCATCCTTCAGAAAAGCCACCCTCCTTTCTATTAATACTCCTTTGTATGCAGGACAGAATCATCACCTATCCCTTCTGCTCAGATGAAGCAAAATCTGCTCCGAAAGGCACTTAGCTCCCTGCTTGTTGGGCTTTAATTACACATTCCACAATCCGTTGCCATGGATTTGCACAATCAGAGTTGTAATTAACGTCCCTGGCTCAGAAGTTGAGGGGAAAAAAAAATACATATCATAAAAATGTTGTGCTTTGGAGATCGTGACAAGTTCTCTCAACACTCCCCCTTCTCCTTTGTTTTCTCCTCTCTCTCTCTCTCTCTCTCTCTTTTTTTGCTACTGTTCTACTCAGGATGGAAAGTGTGGTCCTGATGGAAGAAACTCAACTTTTCATGTATCCCATCAGCATGGCTGGCTGTTTTTTTTTTTTTTTACATTCTTTGCTGCAGAGCAGCTGAGCATCAGTATGGAATTTGGTTGAGTAGATAACAAACTTTTATCAATTATTCCAACTAAGTGAGTATCAAAGTGCCCTTATTGATGTTGTGAAGATAGAATCCCACCATCAAACATTTCTGGTCCAAATGTAATGGTAGAACACCAAGTGGAGCTGAAGCTACTTACTCTTCTCCAACATGGCCATAGATACAGATGAACAGAATTGGAAGGGACCTTGTAGGTCATCTAGTCCAACCCCCCGCCCAACAGACCCTACCCCCGTGATGGTGAACCTATGGCACACGGAGCCATATCGGTGGGCACGCGAGCTCAGCTCTGGCGTGCATGCGCGCGCTGGCCAGCTGATTTTTGGGCCTTCTGGGTCCACCGGAAGTAGGGAAACAGACTGTTTCCTGCCTCCGGAGGGCCTGGGTGTGTGTGTGTGAGGAAGGCCTGTTTTTTGCTCTCCCCAGGCTCCAGAGCCTTTCTATGAGCTTGGAGAGGATGAAAACGGCCTTCCTCACACACACACATACACCCGAGGCCCTCTGGAGGCTGGAAACGGCCCGTTTGGGGCGGAGCGCATAGAATTATGGTGGCACCCCCCCTCACTCCCCCCGCTTTTGGCACGCAATGGCAAAAAGGTTAGCCATCACTGACCTACACCATTTCTGACAGAT